GTCGGCGGCGGCGGCGGCGGCGGCGGCGGCGGCGGCGGCGGTGGGGGGCCGCCGCGCATCAGCAACAGGGTTGACGTGTGGAGCGCGGGCGTTATCTTTTATCAGATGCTCTATGGGAAGCGGCCGTTTGGGGAGGGGCTGACTCAGGAGCAGGTCTTCAGGGACAGGGTCGTGCTCAACGCGCGGCAGGTGCGGACCGCACAGCTGGCCGGGGGGCTAGAGGGGCGGAAGGGCGGTGCCGGCTGCGCGGGGCACCGCCAGTGCCCGCCGCCCTGCAAGCGCAGCTGATGTGCAGCGATCGCGGTCTCGTCTGACACGACAGCAAACTCATCCAAGCCGCCCTGCATACTGGCAATCCGAGTGCTGCCCCTGCAGCCGACGGTTGATCCCTCGTGCGTCCCCCCTCCACCACCCACCACCCACCGCCCACCCCCAGGTCGACTTCCCGGCCAAGCCGGCCGTGTCACCCGAGGCGCGCGCCTTCATCAGCCGCTGCCTGGCCTACCGCCAGCAGGACAGGTGGGACGTGCTCACCGCGGCGGCCGACCCCTACCTGCAGCTCAAGCGCTGACGAGGCGCGCCGACGACGCGCCGACGGCGCCGCCAGCTGAGCTCGGCGTCGCTGCTGCCGCCGCCGACGGAGCGGCCGCGGTCGGGCGTGCTCCGTGCTCGGGGTGGCCGCGGTCCTCGGGGCACAGAGGGGGGCGTTGCACAAGCGGCTTCACAGCTGCCAGCAGCTTCCAGGAAGCCGCCACGCCGCTGTCCTGCTCGGCGGCCCTCCCCCTCCCAACATGCCGCAGCTCTTGTGTTCAGCCCTTGCCAAAACAGGCTCGTGTCCCGTTGGGTGCAGAGCTTACCTAGTGTGCGGTGGCCGTGAACGAGCCGACAGATTTTGCAGCCGCTCCCTGGCTTGCAGTGGCAGCCAAGTCCGCAGTCGCCTGCAGCGGCGGCTGCACGCGCCCACCCGCGCAGCCCCGCTGCGAGGGGCTCGTGCACATGGCCTCTACCGGCTTTGGTGGGCAGGCGGCTGCAGCGCGCAGCCCACTAGCGCCCTGCGCCGCGGCCGCCTGAGCCTTGTGCACTGTCTGCCTTGTCAGAGGTTTGATATCCCGCCGGGCTCAATCCCGCACTCAACGACAAACGTGCTGCGGCGCACGCAGCTTTTTGCAGACTGCCCTTCGCGCGCGTAGCGGCGAGGGCGGCGTTCAGCAATTCCACGTTGCAGCCCTTTTCATATTGCTCGTTTACTCTCTTGAGCTATCAAGACCCGCCATCAGAAGGGCGGACGCTGTCATTGGGCTTTGGGACCATAGACCGGAGGAGCGTCGGCCGAGACTGCCCCCCTGCCGCAATCGCATCGACCGCAACCATACGCTATGCCGTTAGGTACAAGCTGTTACAAATACACATCCGATACAGGTTCGCACTGCGTCTATGATGCTACACGGTGTGAAGCAATGCGATTGGTGGAGTTCATGCTGCTACTCTCAGTACCCCCTCAGGGAGCGGGGACGTCACACCGCTCAAATCCGCCGCCCGGCCCCCACCAGCGCGAGCGCCGCGGCCTTTGCCGCCGCGCCCACCACCCCCTCCAGCCCGACGTCCGCCAGCCCCTGGGCCCGCTGCAGCGCCAGCACGTCGGGCGGCGCGGGGGCGCCCTCTGGGGCCCGCTCTAGGTCCCGCAGGGCCAGCAGCAGCTGCCGCACCTTGGTTCAGAACCGGTTGGGAGGGCAGGGGGCGGGGGCGATTGGGGGGTTCTGGTGTCAGTAGTCGAGGTGGGGCAGCGGGGAGCTGCTGGAAAAATTGCCAGGATGGGGTGCAGGCGGCGGGGCTCGGAGCGCAGGGGGGAGGGAGGGCAAGAGGGGCCGCAAGGGAGGGTGCAGGTGGGGGGGCATCCCTGTAGGGCCCTTGGCCACGACCCTTGGCCTGGTGTCTGGATGGCATCGGTCACAGGCCAGCAGGTTCAGGCGGCTTCGTCAGCACGGGGAAGCGCCCGCGGCGCCACGGGACCGCCAGAGGCCGTCGCACCGCACAAGCGCGCCCTCCGGCTCGATACGCGGCTGTGCATGCGAGTGCGCAGCGCGCTCCACGGACGCAGGCGCGGGTGCCGCACCTCTGGCGCGCCCTCGCTGAGCCCCTGCCGCCGCAGCTCTGCCAGCTGGCCGTTGAACACCTCAGTCAGCGCGTCCTGCAGGCCGCCCGCCACCGCGTCCCGCAGCCGCCGCGGCGCCGCGGCCGCGAGCGCGCCGGCGCCGGCACCGGCGGCGCGGGCGGCGGCGAGGAGCAGCGACGGGCGGGCGCGG